CTATTTGGAGTTATGAGGGGTGGCAAGCTAATCTAGAGATACCCGAGACTAACATTAAATGGCTGGAAACAAGAAAAATGAGCATACCATGGGCACTTTAAGGACAGATTAATGGTTAAAGATAATTTTCATGCAAACATTCAGCATTCTCTGGTTCAGCTTTGTCTTGTATGGTAATAAACTGAATATCCTTCTATTACAGGCTGTTGGTCAGGTTAGAAGACAGGAAGCACACTGTGTGGTATGGGAGAATGCACTGTATGTGTTGCTATATGGTACTGTGACCTCATCAAGTCAAAAGATAAAGATGGGGAGAAAGCATTATAAAGTGGATCATATACTCTATGGTGAATTACTTTAGCACCTGGGAAGAAATGAGACGATATCTCCTGAGTGATAGAAGGTGCTGATCAGTACCTGCGAGTTCTCTAAGGTGGTCCAGTGTGGGGATGATGGGGGGTCTCCTCGTCTGCAGGAAGAACAGCACCATTATGGTGAGGGAAAAGTTAGTGATCCAGGCCCCGGGGATGCTACTGGTAATGCTGTGTGCTCGGGCCCAGCAGCGCACAGTAAACACGAGGCTTCGCACCCGTGGGTCCAGCTCTCCGTACAAGTAGAGCAGCTCTGTACTCTTCATTGCCACCCTGTGGAGAGTGCACAGCATTATTTCTACTACTGCTAATCACTGTACTGGATGTTCTGATGATGATATATTCCTGTCTGAGTCTTCTGACTTGCAAAACAAGTGCAGGGAAGAGAAATACTGGTAAATATAACATCACCAAGTGAACACAAATATTCATCTGTAGTTTATGCATTTTTAGACTGGTCTTACTTAAACTACTGTGATTAACAGATGATTACTCTAGGACACGGTGCCACTTGACATTGTCAAATAAGGAAAACGGGTAGTTAATTGCAGACCAAATAATTTGCAATGTCTTGATTTTAATCACTTTTGATGTCATGTGAAAATATGATAGTACAAATCACACCAGAACCACCACTAGAGAGCCTGGCATGGTGGCTGACTCACACTTCTCAGGCAGAAAAGTGCTGTGCTTCAAAGATGTCAGAGCATGATTTGAGAAAAGTCCCTCTTACATCCACCCACAGTGAATGGTTCCACTCCATTTCCTTAGAAAGTGCAGAGCGGTTTTCTGTACGTTAGCAGGTGTGTGTTGTTTCTATCAGCAGAGACCACAATATCGTCAAGGCTGAATGGAAAGAATTGAAAAACAAATGTGCCCCCCCTTAATGGACCCCCTGTTCAGTTTCATTGTGGCAAGTATGCAACTGAACCATTACAACATTTCCTGTCAAAGGTAAGTTTCTGTTTGGGTCTTTTGCAACACTAATGTGGCCAAAACAATATTCAGATGATATAAAAGTAGCCGTTTCTGTGAGGCAAGAGGCCTATGACCAGCTTGAACTGACATTTTGAGACATGACTGTTCAACTGATGGCAACTGACCTGTTAATTTCTAAGCCACATCAAAGAACGTTTGATTATCTTTTAATGCCATAAATGGGTAACGGCATTAATATCCGTGCACCTGTTGTTGGCTGTGAGGTCACACTGAAAGCCAGAGGGCTGGTGGGAAAAACGGACTAGGGGGCATCGAGCGTTGAGAATCTTCTGCACTCCAACGCACCCAGGTTCAAACTGGTCCACACACTCCCCAACAACGGACAGGATGCTCTGGGTGACACCCCGCTCCGAGTTGGCCCTTTTCATCTGGAACTCCAGGGACAGACCTGATTTTGGCTTAAAACAGAGAGTTGAGAGATTTTCAAGGAGCCATCACACTGTTCTTTTAGTTCTTCTACTCAGTGCACGATTTATGTATCATGTATTACAATGTGCCCTCCAGAATTCCTAAAGACAAAAATAAATTACTATAAAAATTTGAGTGATAACACCACTCCACTAAAGATTAACCTATGAAAGTGTCTATTTTGTAGGAATTAATGAATAAGCTAATGTAGGAGGTACAAGAGATTTCAGACATCTTTTGACTATTCAAAAGGGGTTAAAGGTCACGGCCAGCTTCAAACAACACCAACTAGGGAACTAACAATTATTTTAATTACAGATTACACTGCAGATTATTTTCTTTAATAATTTATTCATCATTTGGTATATAAAATGTCAGAAAAGAGTGAAAAATTCTGTTAATCCTGCTTCTAAAGTTCCAGAAGGCAGCTTCAAATGTCTTGCTGTGCTTGACTAACAGCCCAAAATCCAAAGACACTCAGTTGGTTTTTAATGCTATAAAACAACAAAAGCTGACTGAGAAGCTGGAACCACTGAATGTTTGGGATTTTTGCCTTAAATGTTCTTCAATTAACTACATAATAAACAGCTGCATTTGTATAGCAGTTTTAACCTAAGTCCTTTACAACTTGCCTCACATTCTCACACACACACACACTCTCACACAATGATAGCTACCACGCAAGGTGCTGGCCTGACCACTAGGAGCAACATGGTGTTCAGTGTCTTGCCCAAGAACACAGAGACCCTGAATATAGAGCACTGAATGTTCAACTGTTTCAGCACAACACGAGATGGCAAAATACACATACAGACATAAAAACACAGCGTCGTCGTCGCCACAGTGAATCATCAAACTGACAACTTGCATTTTGATTTTTGGCACTTTTTACGCCAGATGCCCATCTTGACGCAACCCTGACTCGAACCTGGGCCGCAGTGGTGAGAGCACTGCGCCTTAACCACTAGCCTACCAGAGACTGTGTAATTTTAGAATAAAAACTTTAAAAAATTGGTCTTTTTCAATCACAACTTCCCTCAGTTTCACTTTGCAGAACTCAGCCTTTACTAAACTGAAAAGTGAGAACATGACTTTGGGCACAGTAGCTGTTTCACTTTTGGAAAAGGTTTTTCTGTTGCATCTCTAGTTTGTCCAACTCATTACAGTCCAAATCTGTAGTATACCAAAAAAGCCTACATATTTACAGTGACTGTTTGGTCAATTGTAAACTAAAAAATTTTTCTGACACAGGTAAAGTAATGCCCCCCTCTCTACTGGTGGCTTCTTTTTTTTCCCCCCAAAAAATGGCCAAACTAAATCTAAGCACATTTACCCCAAACCCCCATTATTACCATCTTTACATTCCATCCATGGATGCCATCCAAGTCTAGAAACATGTCCAGGTCACAGCCCAGCTTTCCAAAGCCATTTACCGATGAGCCAAATGGCTTGATGGTACATTCTGGGAAATAAGCAACTGCAATGTCCTTAAGCAGAGAGCAGACCAGAAAACGCAGCCTGCTGTTTTCCTCTGTTAGCTGATAGGCTTCTGTCAGGGAAGTCATCTGGTGGTCTATCTGAGGGGCAATGAAAAGATCATACAATACTTAATCCATGTATGTTCTTTTTTTATTTTTTTACTTTAAGAGCTCTGTTTAAATTGATTCACAGGTGTTTGTCTTTAAAGTTGAATTAAAGTTAATAAATCCAAACTTCTCTAGGCATGACAATCTACTTACACTCTCCTCTCTGGACAGTTTCTGTATGAGTTCATTGATAGGAATAGTGGTTTGTGGTTGGCACTGGTAGTCTGACTGCTTGTTTAGTGAGTCCACTGAACTGAGATTCCTCAGTGACAGCAGTCTCGATTTAAAAGGCACTATGGAATCATTGCTGACGCTTGGGATGGTGGCCTCTTCAAATAATGAGGCAACACTTTCCCGGTTGGCAAACTCCACCACAGCATAAACACCCTAGAGGATAATACCAGTAGAGACAAATTCATCATCCAAATTAACCTTGAATCTCATCCCAAAATACAGTATGTCAGAAAACAATGCTTGGTTTTTCACTTACATAGCTTTCATAAAAGAAGTACTTTTTTATAACTCCATGCCTTGATAAATACTTGAGAAATTTTTTCTCATTGGTTCCGGAGTGGCAGCTTATGAGAACCGATCTCTCTGCTTGTTCTTGTCTCTCTACCCGGACAGCATGTAAAGGCTTGCGTTCATCCTTTTCATCTGACAACAAGAAACCAAAATATACATCAATTACAGGACATTGTTACTACGTTTTTCCTTGAAGAAACCGTTTAATTATTATATGCATCTATTACATATTTATGCATTGTTCATCTGTGTTTAAAATATCGCAGATAAAATTCACATTAAAGACACTATGTTACATTTCTATTTATTTGTTACTATTAATTTGATGTGCCCGCAGAATGTAACGCAAAATGTGACGGGAAAATTGACAACTGTATAAAATGTGCCACTGTTAAGAAGCCAATATATGCATGCTACAAATCACATACACGTATCATGTGTCACATTAGCAAATGGCTAACTGAACTTTTACAGACAAATCTAACTACATACTAATACCTAGCGTTATTCTTATACACAACGCAGCATGCACTTTTAGAGGATACATTTACTGAACTAGGATGGTTAAACAATTCTGAGATTTACCATGACCATAATGATTAAATTTTTTTTATTTTCTATTAAATAAACTACGCATTTTGGATGACAGGCCAGACCACAAAGAATCTACAGGGAGACAGCGGTGTGGCATCATCAGAGCTAGCTTGTAAGCTAACGTGGTTTGTTTGAAAGCTTGATATAAGCTACTAACCAGTCTCGTCCTTTCGAGTTGCCTCATTTCGCGCAACAACTGCGTTTGTACCAATACACCTACAAAGAAATGTATCGATGTTCTGAAAACAGTTCACCAGGATACCCCTTCCCCTCGCATGTAACCCGTAAACTGCAAAGGACAACGCCATTGCTCTTTGAAAAGAAACTAAATTGCGCATGCTCATGGCTCTAACTACAGCAACCGACAGATACCACTAGACCGGACACATTTTTGTCGCACCAAAACTATGAGTGAAAAAATAATCTAGGCATTGTTGGTAAACAACGTTTTACTGTGTCCTTATAAAAGTGCAGCTATTGTATAACTTAAATGTGCATTATGTGGTTAATTTGTTACAGTCTTGCCGCTAAAAACGCAACAGAGCACATGGAACATGGTGCTGTGTGTTTCAGCCCCCGAAGCAAATCACATAAAATTTTGTTTTCATGTGAGAAAACACAAGAGAAACGAATAACGAAACTTAAAGTAAAGGGCTGGCACTTGACATTAAAACCCACCCCACCTTCCGATCGACTTCCTCTGTTTACTTCCTTCTAAGCATAATCCGACTTCTCTCGGGCAGTTTCACACTAGAGAGGCTCGATGGAGAGACTACGAGACTGTTAAACTTCTGGCTAAAGATTATGGCAAGTACAATGTGTTTTTCCGCTACTGCTTCATCAGACATTATCAAAATAAGTCGTAAGGTATTATATGCTAAAATAAAAATAGCAGATAAATAGTTTAGAGAATGTAATAGTATATGCTTACAACGCCCAGATGAATTACTATGTTTTTCTAAAGGGAGGTCTTCCGAATTTGCAATTTGGGATTCGGATTTATAAAAATACCTAACTCATGGTTTATGTGCTTAATTTCAACATGGGGTTTGGTGGGCAGGAAAATCCCTATAGCCTCTAAAAGTACTTTGCAAATGTGTTTGATATGCATGCAATTATTTGTATAAAAAGCTAGATTACTTATAACTCACAAAAAAAAACATGAACTCTTTCAACCAGTAGGTGATTAGCACTGTTGGTGTTTTGTAGATTGTAAAATAAGACCCAAGCTTTCCCGGGGGCTTCCCAGCTTTACTGTGAAACTCCCTTCATCTGCTTGGAAAACCTTTAAGCCCCTCCCAGCAGCTTCAGTGTAGTGTCAGTAGGCTACATCCTGTACTCTAGCTGAACTTTTGAAAGTTATGAACTGACTGACACTGACAGGATTTCTTGTACTTCTGAACTAAGCAGAAACTTATCCATAAACTGAACTCCTTATGTTTGAATTTAGATTGAACAGGGCATTTCAAATTTCAAGATGGATTACAAATATAATAATGGATTAGAACTGCTGTTGGCTCACATGAATATAGAGGACATTATCAACACTGCAGAGACTCTGTATCAGCTTGAGGAAGAGGAGGAGGAAGGAGGGGTCTTGTCATTCGAAGAGGAAGGTCTCTCCCAGGAGGACATGGATGAGACTGAAGAGGCAGGGGAGTCGCTGGGCTTGAGGAGGGAGCAGAAAGACTGTGCTGATGAGGTTGGTGGTGTTCGGTATGGGACAGTGACAGACCTCCTATCTTTTGTCAACCTGCTGTCCAACATGCAGGCAGCAGCCCTGCAGCACCTGCCTCAGGAGGTGGGAGTCATGTTGAACAAGGTGAGAATCGGTTTAATTTTTTTTCATTTGAGTTTGACTCCAAAACAAGACTGGATGTTTATGTGCATGAAAATTTGTCTTTAACTATGATCTGCTTAGAAAAATGTGCAGTATCTTCTTATTTTTCAACCCACATTTCTTTGCAGAAGGACATGGCTATAAAAAATGGCCGGTACCAGATCAACTTGGATGTGGTCCTGTTTCCATGGAAACTGACCTACAAGAATCATGGCTCTATCCTTGTACCCAAGGGCTCATTTGGGAAAGTCCACTTAGCTCAGGACACCACCACCAGGAAGAGGATGGCTTGCAAACTGGTGAGTCCTGCTGAGCAACAGCTGGAATCCAGCCTATGCTAACTTCTCAGAACTCTAGGTCTAAGTGCCAAATATTTCATCCGCCAACTACTGCTTGTTCATAGAGCAACTATTCCTGTGCAGTCATGGTTAATGTCAGCATGACATTTGGCATGTTTCCTCTTTAAGTAAAAGAGGAAGAGTGCTCGTAAAAGAAGAACAAGTTTTTTTAAATAAAACACAAACTTACAAAATGCGCCATGATGAATGCAAGATTGGAAATTTAATAGTAACTTTCCACAACTCGACTGGATGAATGAAAATTTGACTTGTGTACCGTATATACAGAGAGTGAAATGTTTAGCCATGGGATGGGGGTTGGGGGTGGCAATGTGTTTATTTTCTCTTACATGGAAAACATTAGTGTGAAGAAAGGCAAGTCCTTTCTTAACTAGACCTGTGTTATCATGAGAAATGTATTGTACACAGTGTCAACAGCACACATTATCAAAACACATATTGGCATATAGCAATCAGCATCAGATGACATTATCATGAATAATCATCTGTGAAAAAATTATGCATTGTGTATCAGACATGCTTTTTACACTGATAAAACTCAACTCTTATTTACTTAGCTTATTTCCTGCCAACAGAACTTCAAAATTTCACTGCCAAGTTTATGAAAACAAGTAAAAATAACTAGTCTCCAGAACTTATAGCTATCTTAAAACTAGTGTGGCTAGAATAAAAACAAGTACATTTATCTGATACAAGACAGTTTTGTACTTGTCATTGTTGATCAAACAGCTTTATAATTTTCAGAATTCTAATTTCAAGCATTAAGTTACTCAGAACTAGTAATCAAATCTCAGTAACATATTGGTAAGAAGAAATATGTCAGAAAAAACAAGCACCTTGATTGGTGAGACAGTATTTCATCTTACTTAGATTTCACTTTGCAATGTAGGTGGAAACGCAGTTATTTTTTCTTGCCAAGAAAAGACACTTAGCTTAGCATAAAGGCTGGAAGGAGGGGAAAATAGCTATCTGGCTCTGTCCAAATGAATAAAGCATATCATATTTCTGTTAGTGGGGAAAAAAACAGACCAGACATAATGGGTCACTTACAGAGCTTCTGACGTGCTTGTAGGCAAATTTTTCCCCCTAGCAGCCTTGTAGTTTCTCCCTGTTTCCAGTACTTATGCTAAGCTAAGCTAATCATGTCCTGACTCTAGCTCCGTTGCTACCATCTTATGTCTGTAAATATTAAACTACATCGACAGGCCTATAGTATAGCCTACCAGGTAACATGGTTGGACCCGAGGGGTGGCCAGCGGTAGCACTGCCCACACCCACCTTCTGATTGGCTACCCCTGGTGCCACCCCTGGCAGAGTTAAAATTTGATGCCTGTCAGTATTTAATATGTGGTTCCAATGTGCCACCGCTCTCTGAGACTGTGCCCCAGCCTGGCCACCTCATCCAAAATTCTCTATATCCACCCCTGCAAGGTAAAAGTGTAAAAAATTGGAATCTCCGTTGGTTGCCTGACAAACTCATAGTGGCAAGTCACTGGGAAGTTTCTCCACCCAGATGAGAAGTAGTCCAGCACATAAACATAAATCGCTGAACAGATTGAATTAATGTACGACAACATGTTAGTTAGTGAGTTTAAGAGGTGTTGCAGGCAGATTTTGGTTTCTCACCAGCTTCTAGGATAACTTGTGTTTTGGATTGTCAAGCATATGCTTTTGTGGTTGCTTGTAGTGGCAATAGCTGTTAAAATCAGGAAGATAACACACACGTGTCTTTGTGAAGGTTTGCTTTATTTAAACATTCAAACATCCTTATCAGCTTCTTGTTAATCGAAGTTAATTATATCTGTAGATGGTGTCACAAGCAAGAAGCATTCACCTTTATTAATCATTCTTTGAATGTGGTCAAAAAGCTGGAGACTAACATTTAAAATTCCTCAAGAGATCTACTAGCTGACTGCTAATGTATAGTTATTTTTCTCACATTCAAAGTAACATTATGAAAGGTGAATGCTCTTAGCTGAGGAA